TCTCTAATCACTCCACCACTACCTTCAATCTTCCTAAACAAGTGACTTTTGTGGAGGAATTTGAAAGTTTAACGGTTGATTCACAAGATTGAGCAAGAAATGTGTAAGGCCCAAAACAACCAATGCAAAGATCATAAACGAAACAATAAGTAAATAAAAAGGAAAGGATTGCAAACCAATTAACTACCCAACTCCTCTTGAGCTTGTAGATTAATTGAAACAAGCTACTTCAAGTTGATGAATTACAATCACTCTTGTGTACAAAGGAAGGTTCACCTCCTCCTTGCCCCAAGCAGCACTCGGTCAAGCCAGGACGTTTTACTATCTCTCAGGACAACCCTCACAGAGCTACACTCATGAAAGATTCACTCACAAATGAAAAGCTTACAATGAACCTCACACCACTAAGACTACAAATATTCTTTTTGGAGTATTTTCTCACTAAAATCTCTCTAGATCTTTTGTATCTTCAGTGTGCCAAAGTTGTTTGAAGTATCTGACCAACCACTATTTATATAGGACCAAGAAAGAGCCTCATTAAAGCTTCCAACGGATAGAAAGTAGCTGAAGAGTCAACTAGCCGTTGGAGTGTCGGACGTCCGATAGCCCTGTTTTATGCGTCCGACAGCAGGCAGTGAGTTTCAGAGATTTTCTTCAATTCTTTCGGACGTCCGGTGCAAGTTCTTTATGCGTCCGACAGCAAACAAACAGATTTGAGAAATTATCTTGTTTCTATCGGACGTCCGGTAGAGACATATTCAGCGTCCGATAGTTTCGTCGACTTCGAAAGATCCTATCGGACGTCCGAAGCATGCGTCCGAAGTTGTGCAATGATTATCGGACGTCCGATCCTGACATCTTGAGCGTCCGACAGCTTCAGCATACTTTGTCATCTTTCAATTGTACTTGATCATGGAATCAAATAACTTCATAACTGAAAATATATCTTGAAGAAATATTAGTATCATCCATTTGTTTTGTAAACATCAAAAGATAGGGATCAAGATCAACAATCTCCCCCTTTTTGATGATGACAAAACAATGGATGGAAAGAAACAAAAATAAGTATAAGCTCCCCCTCAATCATTGCAACCAAAACTTTTAAGAGCCAAACTCATAATCTCAGAATAACTCCCCCTTACACATTGCATCCATTTCTCCCCCTTTTTGTCATCATAAGAGTAAAAATCAACTACTATAATCCAGCAACAATAACAAAGAATTCAATATTTCAAGAAAAAATAGAGAAATGACAGCAATCACAGCAAATCATCATGAGATCAGCATTATTCTTTTATCTCTCTTTTTGACATCATATAGATTCAGTAGTATTCAAAGATATCAGCGAAAACTCAGATCAAAGTATCAAAAGAAAAAATATTCTGAACAAGAATCACTGCAATGATTAGACAAAACCTCCTACTTGTTAAAATTAGCATCATGTCTAACTATCCACATGTATTTCATGCCTTTTTTTATATTCTTTCTCACATAGCAATCACTTTTCATGTGACCTTTTTGACAACAGAAATTACACATAATCAGGGAATTATTTATATGAACAGGTTTAATAAATCTTACTTGTCTTTTCCTATGGATAGCAAACTCATTTGCAGCAGAATTTATCTTAAAATGAGGTTTTGATTTATTACTTTGAAAACAGTCCTGTTTTTTATGTTGAAGCAACTCATTTAAATCATCCATTCTTCTTTTCAAATCATCTTGTTCCCTTTTGAACATTTCACAAAAACTTGTTTTTCTATCAAGATCCAAGTGTAAAGCAGTCTCACTTTTTTTTAAGTAATCATTTTCAGCTTTCAACTTTTTGTTTTGTTGAAAAAGATTTGCATTATCTCGAAGCAAAAAACTAATTTTCTGTTTTAACTCCTTGTTTCTAACATAAGATTCTTTCGAACTATCATGCAATTTTATAATGAAAGATTCAAGATCATCATCATCTTCATCATCACTTTCAAATTGAGAGCTAGAAGATGTTACCTCATCATCTCCAATAGCCATGAAAGCCAATTGAGCAGATTGATCTTCCTCTTCAATTTCACTATCGGAATTGCATTCATTCCATGTGAATTGAAATTTGTTTATTCTTGGTTTTCTTCCTTCTTTCTTCTTCATCACTGGACAGTCACTTGCATAGTGTCCAGGTTGGCCGCATTCAAAGCACTGATCAGTTTGCTTTTTGTTGAACTCTAGCTTCCCTTTGTTTCTTGAGTTGTTGAACTGATTTGGGAATGAATTGCTAGGTCCACCATTTCTGAATCTTCTCTTGTTGAGTATTCGTTTGAAACTTTTTGTGATGAGAGCGATATCATTGTCATCACCTTCCACATCTTCTTCATCTAGGGAGGCAGAATCATCTTCATCTTGTGAGGCTTTTAGAGCAATATTCTTTCGCACTTTTGCATCCTCTTCCTCTTGCACCTTAGTCTTAAGTTTCAGCTCATAAGAGGTAAGAGAATTAATAAGAGATTCAATAGGCATAGTATTCAAATCTCTAGCCTCCTCAATAGCAGTCATTTTATTTTCCCAATCATTGGACAAGGCATTCAGGATTTTTCTATTTTTCTCACCAAGAGAATATTCTTTTTCCAGCACCTCTAAATCTTTAATGAGATCATTGAATCTACAATACATTTGATCAACATTTTCATGAGGTTCCATCTTGAAAGATTCATACTTTGTAACTAGAATGGACTTCTTTTGTTCTCTAACATTCTCACTACCTTCATGAATTTCTTTCAGTTTGTCCCAAATTTCTTTAGCTGACTTGCAACCCTTGACTCTAATAGATTCATTTGAGTCTAATGCACAATATAACACATTCATGGCTTTTGCATTTAAGGTGAGATGAGCTCTATCCACAGCAGTCAGTTCACTTCTTGTTTTCGGTCTAGATGCATGAGTATTTTCATCTATAAGAGAGGCATCATATGGACCTTCACTAATAATAAACCACAATTCGATATCAATAGATTGCAAAAAGATAATCATTCTTTCTTTCCAACTCATATAATTTGACCCATTAAACACAGGTGGTCTAATAACAGAATGTCCTTCAAAAAACATAGCATTATTGGTTGTCATCTTTACTCCAAAGCCGATTGAGCTTAATCTCTAGGAGACCAAGCTCTGATACCAATTGTAAGGCCCAAAACAACCAATGCAAAGATCATAAACGAAACAATAAGTAAATAAAAAGGAAAGGATTGCAAACCAATTAACTACCCAACTCCTCTTGAGCTTGTAGATTAATTGAAACAAGCTACTTCAAGTTGATGAATTACAATCACTCTTGTGTACAAAGGAAGGTTCACCTCCTCCTTGTCCCAAGCAGCACTCGGTCAAGCCAGGACGTTTTACTATCCCTCAGGACAACCCTCACAGAGCTACACTCATGAAAGATTCACTCACAAATGAAAAGCTTACAATGAACCTCACACCACTAAGACTACAAATATTCTTTTTGGAGTATTTTCTCACTAAAATCTCTCTAGATCTTTTGTATCTTCAGTGTGCCAAAGTTCTTTGAAGTATCTGACCAACCACTATTTATATAGGACCAAGAAAGAGCCTCATTAAAGCTTCCAACGGATAGAAAGTAGCTGAAGAGTCAACTAGCCGTTGGAGTGTCGGACGTCCGATAACCCTGTTTTATACGTCCGACAGCAGGCAGTGAGTTTCAGAGATTTTCTTCAATTCTTTCGGACGTCCGGTGCAAGCTCTTTATGCGTCCGACAGCAAACAAACAGATTTGAGAAATTATCTTGTTTCTATCGGACGTCCGGTAGAGACATATTCAGCGTCCGATAGGTCCGATAGTTTCGTCGACTTCGAAAGATCCTATCGGACGTCCGAAGCATGCATCCGAAGTTGTGCAATGATTATCGGACGTCCGATCCTGACATCTTGAGCGTCCGACAGCTTCAGCATACTTTGTCATCTTTCAATTGTACTTGATCATGGAATCAAATAACTTCATAACTGAAAATATATCTTGAAGAAATATTAGTATCATCCATTTGTTTTGTAAACATCAAAAGATAGGGATCAAGATCAACAAAATGGAGTTGGAGTTGAAGGCTTTCTTCTTGTATTTTTGCTCCAAGAGGTTCGGCCAAGCTTGCAGAAATTTAGGTGCTTTTTGGATCAAAATTAAGTATTAGTAAAGGTAAGAAATAATGGTCAAAGTCAAGGTTGAATAGGAAGGTGACACTTGTCACCCTTTTTAATGCAACTCTATCCTTTTGTCTCTCCAATACAAATATCTAAACACTTTGTAAAATAATATCACTTAATACAAAATTTCAACAAGTTGTCAAAAATATAATGCATTTACCGCACTAGCGGGTCCCACGCCCAAAATACGCTCTTAATTTCTCAAAAACTAACCGATACTAGAAAAATCATTTTAAAACTATCTTTGCTCATAAACTTTATCTGGGGAATTTTTCTAATCAAGAAAATGTAGAAAAGGCGGGCGATTAAAACAAATAAATCCTAGAAAATTAGAAAATTTCCGGGTTCTCAAACTCATTCTTTTCGGGGCGTCACAAAAGGCAAGTGGACGACTTGCTTGGCAAAGGATGGGCACGTGAGAGCTTAAGCCCGTGCGCTGTCCCAGTCATTTTGGTGCCCAAGAAAGATGGTACGTGGAGAATGTGCACTGATTGTAGAGCCGTAAATGCCATCACAGTAAAGTATCGCCACCCTATACCTCGCTTAGATGACATGCTTGATGAGTTGCATGGGGCTATGTTCTTTACCAAAATTGATCTCAAAAGTGGGTACCATCAAATTCGGATAAAGGAGGGGGACGAATGGAAAACTGCCTTCAAAACTAAGTATGGATTGTATGAGTGGTTAGTGATGCCTTTTGGGCTAACTAATGCACCTAGCACCTTCATGAGGTTAATGAACCATGTTTTCCGTCCATTCTTAGGGAAATTCGTGGTAGTTTACTTTGACGATATCCTAATTTATAGCAAATCTTATGATGAACACCTAGAGCATATTAGGGCTGTTATGGATGTACTTCGACGAGAGAAGCTCTATGCCAATCTCAAGAAGTGTAATTTTTGCACTAATGAACTTGTGTTTCTAGGGTTTGTTATAAGTGCGCAGGGAATGAAGGTGGATGACCAAAAGGTGAAAGCTATCCAAGAGTGGCCAACACCAAGATCGGTGGGTGATGTTCGGAGCTTCCATGGACTTGCGGGTTTCTATAGGAGATTCGTGAGGGACTTTAGCACCATTGCTGCACCCTTGACCGAGTTGATCAAGAAGAATGAGAACTTCCATTGGGGAGATTCTCAAGAACAAGCCTTTCGCGCTTTAAAGCACAAACTCACACATGCACCTGTACTTGCTTTACCTGACTTTTCTAAGACATTTGAAATTGATTGTGATGCTTCAGGTATTGTAGTTGGAGCTGTGTTGAACCAAAGAGGAAGACCTATTGCCTACTTTAGTGAGAAACTCAATGGGGCTGCACTGAACTACTCAACTTATGATAAAGAGTTATACGCCCTCATTCGAGCACTACAAGTTTGGCAGCACTACTTAAGGCCTGAGGAATTCGTGATACACACTGATCATTAGTCCCTTAAATACCTTAAGGCCCAGCACACCTTGAGCAAAAAGCATGCAAGGTGGATCGCATTCGTGGAGTCCTTTCCGTACGTGATTAAATACAAGGCTGGTAAGTCTAATGTGGTTGCGGATGTGTGACGCCCCGAAAAAAATGAGTTTGAGAACCCGGAAATTTTCTAATTTTCTAGGGTTTATTTTTTTTAACGCCCGCCTTTTCTACATTTTCTTGATTAGAAAAAATTCCCAGATAAAGTTTATGAGCAAAAATAGTTTTAAAATGATTTTTCTAGTATCGGTTAGTTTTTGAGAAATTAAAAGCGTATTTTGGACGTGGGACCCGCTAGTGCGGTAAATGCATTATATTTTTGACAACTTGTTGGAATTTTGTATTAAGTGATATTATTTTACAAGGTGCTAAGAGATAATTAGAGGTTACTTAGATGGTTTAATCTTGGAGAGACAAAAGGATAAGATTAAAATCCTAGAGGACCATTTGTCACCTAACTATTGGACCTTGACTTTGACTTGGACTTGTCTTAACCTTTACTAAACCAAATTTTGACCCAATTTCTTCCATTTTTATTGTCTTGGCCGAAATTTTTGGTGAGGAAAGAACAAGAGAGAGTTTCTTCAACTTCAACTTCAATTCTTGCTCAAATCTTGAGTTCCAACCGATTAAATTGCAAATCACTCCATAAAACTTGCTAGCTAAGGAAGATTGAAGCTCTTGGTGGAGTTATTTGGAAGGTTAAGGTGCCTAGTTGTTCTCTCTCTTCTATTGTTAAGGTGAGTGGTGATTGAACTTCCTCCTACACTTAATGAAGCTTAAGTTATGCCTAGTGGGAGCTAAAGTGCTGAAATTTGTGGTTTATTTCTTGGTTTGAGATGAATTGGTGAAGTTTTTGATTTATTGATGATTTTTCTGATTTAATTTGATCATGATGTTGTGGCTGTCCATGATGGTTGGAAATGATGTTTAATAACTCTAGTAGGTGTAAATGATTGGTAATTGCAACCAATTTTGGGTTTGGAAGGAATTTGAGAAAGTTAGGGTTTTATATCGCCAATTCTGTCCGGTTTTGTATCTCATGGTTAGAGGCTGAATTGGCCTTGGATTAAAACATGAAAGTTGTAGGTATTGATGTTTTAAAGGTGCCTGTAACATTTCAGGTCAATTGGAGTAGTGTGGAGTGAGAAAAGTTGGAAATACTGAGACTGGTCTGGGAAGGGGTGCTGCGAACAGGGTTGCCTTTTCACTCAATTTGACCGTGACCTTTCACCCTGATTCTCACCGAATTAGATTTTGGCCAAAACATGAAAGTTGTAGCCAAGCCTATAAAATAGTTTCCTGTAAATTTTCAGCTTGATCCGACCACTGTATCATGTGAAATGACCGAAATACCCTTGACTGTTTTTGAAATCTGTTTCGCGCCCAGATTTTTGTTTTCATGTAGTCTTCCATTTTCGATCATGAAAATGCACGATTTGGCCTTTGAGGTCTTTTGATGAAATGTAGCTTGATGTATTAGCTACCATATACCTTTGGAATTTCTGGATTTGGACTTGTAGAGCCTGAGTTATGATGTTTCCGCTAGAATACGTTTTGGTGAATCTGTTTTACGTTTTTGATGTGGTATCTTGCCTTTTTGACCTGTTTGCACTCGAAACTGGGTTGAGTGACCTTCTGCAATATTGTAGCTCTGACTCTTAGCTTCGAAACGGTGGGTCTTTCACCTCATCCGACAATCGTAGCGCCTTTGGTACCATTACCGCAAAATGACGTCAAAACTATTTTTCTGGTTTTGAGCTTAACTTTCATTTCCGGACTTTTCCCTAGCTTGACTTGTGCTAGTACTACTTGGAGCTTGCTGAATGGCTATTGGATGAACTTATTTGTGTGACTTTGGAATTGGCTGAGGAAATAATGAAGCCATGATGGCTGGGAAAGTAAGCAAATTTAGGGGAAGTGCTGTCCGAAGTTTTAAAGGGTTTGATTGCTTTGAGTTTGTGATCTAAGACTTGGATTTGAGCAAGGCAATGTTATATGATGGATGATTTCTGAGCCATGGAGGTGAGTGACCTCAAACTACTTCTAAAGTGATTTATGAACCGTTTCTTACATTATTTACTTTTGAACTGTTTCCAAAGTTACTTTTGAAATGTTTTCTTGCATATCATGTGTGCTGGCATTTGAGTGTGCCTTGTTTGCTATATTTCTTGACTTCATGACTTGTATTTTGGTTGATAACGTGTTAAGCGCTTATAATGATTTCCAAAACGAGTTTTCGAGGCGAGTGTGTACTTTATCGCATTCGACCTCGATAAAGGTGAAATTTTCGATTGAAATGTTACTTGCGCATGAATGTAAGCCTTTTGGGCTGAACTGGCAATTGCCCCTTGTTACCGGTCGTCTTGAGCCAGAAGCGGACTCGGTCAGGCGATTAGGAACTTGGGTGAACGTTTGGTATACTCGAGTATTACCTGTGTAGGTTGGTGGAGCCTGGCCAAAAGCCAGGGACGGGGTGAATGAAATGAAATGAATGACCAAATGAGCGAGGAAATGTCAGGAGAATGAATGTATCCTTTCATGAATGTTACTATCGCTTTCCATTGTAAATGTTTCTTGAATTATTGATAATCCATATTTACTGTTTTGCAAATGATGTAGTTGTTTCCGGATTTATCATTTAATTTATGACATCATTGCTATATGACATCATTGAAATGAACTATTGTGAAACCGAGTTGATTAATGATTTTCTGGTTACTCGCTGAGCTTTTAGCTCACCCCAAAAACTATTTTATTCCCCTCCACAGGGCTCGTGGCGAAGGAAGGACTTGTAGTACTTGTGCACGTGTATGGATGGCCTAAACTTTGTACAATTTTGGATTTGGAATTATTTTATGTATATTTGGGATTAGTTTCCGCTGCATTTGTGACATGTAATTATTGGAGACGGGTGTGTATTTGTGGACCATTTGATGTATAATTGAGATTTGTATTGTATTTATTTGAGGACTGTAGTGAATGACTGAGTCCCGGCAAGAGCTGGGCGGGCGGCCCGCCGAACCCTTTGGTTCACCTTAGGGAGAGGTGGGGCCGTCACAGGATGCACTCTCACGAAGGTACTCCCTACTCACTTCCTTAAATGCTAAGTTGTTAGGGTTTGAGCGGATTAAAGACATCTATGCACAAGATAGTGATTTCGGTGAACTTTACCTTTCTTGCAAACACACTGGGCAAGGTAAATTCTTCATTTCTGTTGGTTACTTGTTTTATGCCAATCGGCTTTGCATCCCACATGGATCCATCCGCGAACTTTTGGTACGAGAATCCCATTCGGGTGGCCTTATGGGACATTTTGGGGTTGATAAGACTCTTGCCATGCTGCAGGAGCACTTCTATTGGCCGCACATTAGGAGAGATGTTGCACGGGTGGTGGAGCGATGCTTAGCTCGTAGGAAAGCTAAATCCAAGGTACACCCGTATGGCCTTTACACCCCGTTACCTATTTCTAGTGCACCATGGGTTGACATCTCTATGGATTTTATACTTGGTTTGCCTAGATCCAAGTATGGCCATGACTCCATTTATGTGGTTGTTGATAGATTCTCTAAAATGGCACACTTCATTGCTTGTCATAAAACGGATGATGCATCTCATATTGCTAATTTGTTCTTTAAAGAGATTGTGAGATTGCATGGCATTCCTAGGACCATTGTATCTGATAGAGATGTTAAATTCCTAAGCTATTTTTGGAAGACACTCTGGTCTAAGTTAGGCACCAAATTGCTATTCTCTACTGCTAGCCACCCCCAAACTGATGGTCAAACCGAGGTGGTAAATCGTACATTAGGTACCTTGTTGCGTGCCATCATAAAAAAGAACTTGAAATCTTGGGAAGAGTGTTTACCTCATGTTGAGTTTGCTTATAATAGGGCTATCCATTCTACTACTGGTTTCTCTCCATTTGAATGTGTTTATGGTTTTAATCCGCTAACACCACTTGATCTAGTGCCATTACCTAGTAATGAGCGCACACATTTAGATGGTAAGAAACGTGCAGAGTTTGTTAAGCAACTGCATGAGAAAGTCAGGGCTAACATTGAGAGGAGAACTGCTCAATATGTCAAGCAAGCTAACAAAGGTCGCCAAAAGTTGATTTTTGAGCCTGGCGATTGGGTATGGTTGCACATGCGCAAAGAAAGATTTCCTGTTCAAATGACGAACAAATTACAACCACGGGGTGATGGACCTTTTCAAGTGTTGGAGCGCATCAATGACAATGCCTACAAACTTAACCTTCCTGGTGAGTATGGAGTTAGTGCTACATTTAATGTCTCTGACTTAGCTCCTTTTGATGCAGATGATGCATTTGATTTGAGGGCAAATCCTTCTCAAGAGGAGGGGAATGATAGCATCATGGTACGTGGGCAGGCCAACAATGGCTCGAGTAATCGAGGAGCTGAGGATCACGTGCACGCCCCAAGTGGACCCATTACTAGGGCTCGTGCAAAGAAACTTCATGAGCAACTCAATGTACTTATTCAGGCCATACACAAGTCCTTTGAAGGATTCATACACTCAAGTGAAGGTGGTCGCGGTCCGATAATGAGCATTGAAGCTACACCTGAGGATTAGCGTTTTTCTGCCAAACCCTAATTTCCATTTTAGCATCATAGTTAGTTATTTCCACATTAGTTGATTAGATTGAATAATTGGCTAAGTGCATATTGCACGTAGAATCGCCAAAGGTAGGATTGCTAATTTACTCATTAATATTTGCTAGAGTGGGCTGTCTAGGAAGGAAAGCCCACGTGAGGCCCAACCCATCGGGGGGTAAGCCTCCCTATTAGGGCCCATATTGTGACGACCCCACTTCTCCCAAGGGCGAATCCAAAGGTATCGGCGGGCTGCCTGCCTAACTCGCGCCAGGACTCAAAACTTAAAACAATAAAAGCCAGAAAATTCAAAAGAGTTCTAGATACAATCCCAAAAGAGTTACATT